TGTTTTGTTTTAAAAGGTCCCCAAGTGGTTCAAATAGGTAACAAGTTTGCTGAGCACTGTTAGTCCATTTGTGCCGGCCTCTCGGGGTAGGGGGAATTTGTTTGTGTCTTCCAGTTGGCACGAAGGCCTTTTCCTAAAGATAGTTGAGTTTCTCAAAAGAATTTTACCAGTTTGTTTTTGTGTTTGAAAAATCCTTTCCCCATTTTGGTCCAGTAGCATGTGGTCAGTATGGCAGAATGGTTTCTTATCATGTTGTAGTTGGGAATCTATAGAAAGCTGAAGAATTTTGTCCATTGTCATGTGGAAAGTTATTAGCAGAGCTGAAGCAGACCCTAGCCCTCCTGACTCTCAGTCAGGAGTGCTGGCCCCTATGCTGCCTTCCAGAGACGGATCCGGATTGACTAGCTTTTGGGAGAGGGATGCTTGGTAAAGAAGGCACTTTGGGGGCAAGAACATGGAGTAAAAGGGGAGCCATAAGGGAGGACATRAGATACTTTGTCATCCCCAAAGTTAGCTCTTCCAAGAGATCCAAGCTCTCTAAGAGGCCCATGGCACCAGTAATCTACAGTTCACCCTGGAGTCCCAGACCCCATCCCACTTCCCTCAGGGTTGGGTTTGGTGGTGACTAAGACCTCTGGAAGAGACAGGTGCAGACTGTGCAAGGCGCACGATCCAGCTTATTCCAAGGGTTTATTTATCTTGTTCTAATTGCCAATATCACAGTTTTGATTACTTAGAGGTTTCTRTGTGTGTGTGTGTGTGTGTGTGTGTGTGTGTGTGTTTTGTACTGGGAATTGAACTCAGGGGCACTCAACTACTGAGCCACATCCTCATTCTAGTTTGTATTTTATTTGGAAACAGGGTCTCACTGAGTTGCTTAACGCCTTGTCATTGCTGAGGCTGCCTTTGAACTTGTGATCCTCCTGCCTCAGCCTCCCAAGCCACTGGGATTACAGGTGTGCACCACCATGCCCAGCAAGATTTCTTTTTCTTTTCTTCTTTTTTTTTTTTTTTTGTGGTGCTGGGTATTGAACTTAAAGCCTTATGAATGTTAGGCAAGCACTCTACCAACTGAGCTATGTCCCCAGCCCCATTTCTATGTTTTAAAACTACCTGATTTCAGGGCATATTACAAGTAACCAAGATATTGCAGTCTATTACAGTAACCAAGACAGTATAGTATTGGCATGAAGAGAGAGAGACAGGCCAGCAGAGCAGAAGAGAAGAGTCCAGAAATAGACCCACACAAATATGTCTGATGATTTCAAGGAGGTGCAATGGCAATTGAGTAGATGAAGGCCAGGACACCTTTTCAACAAATGGTGCTGAACAGTTGGATGTGTGCAAACAAAAGGAAAATGGAGTGGTAGGAGGTGCTCACTCATGCTTGGCATATGTGAGGCCCAGAGTTTGACCGCCAGCCCCACAGAAGGAAGAGGAAGAAGAGGAGGAGGAAGAAGACGAGGAGAAGAACTTTGATCAACATCTTGCATGTATATGAAAATTAGCTCAAGGTCAATCATAGGCCTAATGTAAACTATTAAATTTGTAGGAAAAAAATAGGAGAAAAATCTATGTGCCTTTGGGTTAGACCAAAATTTCTTCAGTTCAATATCAGAAACATGATCCATAGATCTCGACAAATTGAACACCATCAAAATTTAAAACTTTGGCCCCATGAAAGACATTGGTAAAGGAGTGAAAAGGTAAACCACACACCTGGAGATTTTCATAAATCACATATTTGATAAAGGACTTGCTTCCAGACTATTTAAAGAACTCTCAATAAAAACAGGTAAAAGATTTTAATCTAAATTTCAACAAAGAAGATATGTGGATGGCAGATAAGTACATAGAGACTCAAGACCTTTTAGTCATTGGGGAAATACAAATTAAAGTCACAATCTTGGTACCATTTCTATACCTGTTTTATGATGAAAAAGATCAACTATAGCAGGTGTTAAGATGTGTAAGAACTGAAATTCTTTTTTATTTTTKGGGGTACAGGGGATTGAACCCAGGGGTCACTTAAATACTGAGCCACATTCCCAGCCCTTTTTATTTTTGATTTTGAGACACAGTCGTGCTAAATTGCTGAGGCTGGCTTTGAACTTGCGTTCTTCTGCCTCAGCCTCCAGAGATGCTGAGATTACAGGCATGCACCACCACACCCAATGGAACTGAAATTTTTTCACATAGTTGGTGGAAATGTGAAATGTAACAGCCACCTTGGAAAACATAAGCTTATACCTTCCATWTGACCTAGATTTTTAAGATGTTTTGCTGGGGATGGAACCCAGGGCCTCATGCATGCTAGACAAGTGCTCTCCCACTGAGCTACCCGCAGCTCTAACCTAGACCTACTCCTGGATTTTTACCTAAGTGACAGTACAGAAAAACGGAACAAGAAAGTTCATAGCAGTTCTGTTTTTAGTAGCTCAAACTGGAAACAATCTAAATTTCCATCAACTGGTGAATACGGGTGGGAGAGGGGAGGGACAGGGTTAAAAAAGGGCAAAAGAAAACTTTTGGGGTGATAGATATATTCATTATTTTGATTATGGCAACTGTTTCACAGATGTATTCATATATATTAGACTTATCAGATAGTATACTCTAAACATGTACAATTTATTACATGACACCTGTACCTATAAAAGCTATTAAAGATAGTAATTAACAATGACATGCAGATTGTTGAAAGAAAGAAAGAYGAAAAGATAATATCCTATAAGATAGGAGGGAGTGATGGGATTTAACAGGTTTTGGGATCCTGCAATATTGGAGGAAAGATTCGAGAATATTAAAATACAAGYAGCTGTGTGTGTCTATAGATTCTGCATCCACAGATCCAACYAACCTTGGATTCAAGCAGCTGCAGCTAGAAAATAATTGAAAAGAATTGGCATCCATACTGAACACATACAAATTTTTTCTTTGTCCTTATTCCCTAGATAATACAGTATGATAAATACCCGAGCATTTACATTGTATTAGGTATTATAAATGATCAAGAGATGATTTAAAACATACTAGAGGATGCAAGTAGGTTATATGCAAGTAGTAGGCTATTTTATATAAGGGACTTGACCATCTGTGGATTTTGGTATCAATTCCTCAAGGATACTGAGGACAACTGTATTAATTGTAGTCTTTGTTGAGAATGCAGAAAAGTTCAAGATTAGAAAGGGGGGATAAACTGGCATGGAAGTGGGAGACTGAGGCAGGAGGATCCCAAGTTCAAGTCCAGCCTAAGCGATTTAATGAGACCTTGTCTCAAATTAAATAAATAAGGGCTGGGGATATAGCTCTGTGCTAGAGCTTACTTCCCTATACCACAAAATTAAACAAACAAACAAATAAATAAAAATAAATAGTAGATACAGACATCATATTGRAGAATCTGAAAGAATGGTGATGAAATTGAACAATAATACAAACAATTTGGGGCTGGGGGTATGGCTCAGTGRTAGAGCACTCGCCTCACACATGCAAGGTCCTGGGTTCAATCCTCAGCACCATATAAAAATAAATAAATAAATAAAAGTTATTGTGTACAGCTACAAAAAAATATTTAAAAAATAGTCGTTGTTTTTAAGAAAATAATACAAACAATTTAATTTTTAAAAGACAAGAAGGAAAATGAGAAAAGGACCACTTGTTTTCAGCCTGCACAGTCGCAGCCCATGTGATCCATTCCAAATGGGCAGAGATGTTGCCTTTGTACCAGGCTTGGGGGCCCCAGCCTCAGCCTCAGACCCAGTCATGTGGTGCCCCTCCCAGCTGCCAGCAGTAAGGCTGGTCACAACCCCAAAGTGCCATTGGCAGGGACGTGACTTCCTTCCTGCTGGGGACACTTCCCAAAGCTCCTCATACCCCCTTGCACCATTAGGGCTTTGGGTCTCCCTGCTTCCTTTTCTTCTTCCCCTTCAAGCCTCTGAGCCACCTTTGGAGGGGATTTGCAAAACCTTTCTTAATGGGCCTCCGTGGATTAAAGTYGTAATATCCACTTCTCTGTCAGAGTCAGGACGGAGGGGAGGCCTCAAATCTCCCGGTTTTCCTATCAATACTTTCTTTTGTGTGAAGGTGTTTCTTTTAAAGAAATAAATGGGGGGGTGGGGGTGCTGGGACCTGTACCTGTAATCCCAGCAACTCAGGGGGCTGAGGCAGAAGGATCAGTTTTTGCAATTTAGCGAGACCCTAATCTCAAAATAAAAATTTAAAAAGGGCTGGCAGTGTAACCAGTGATAGAACACATGCTTGCCTAGAGGCTCTGGGTTGGATCCCCAGTAACACACACACACACACACACACACACACACACACACACACACATACACACTCACTCAAATGAAGAAAAATATATTTAAAAAAATAAAATAAAATAGACATTCTCTCCCTCTGACCTGGCACTTCCATATATGCAAATCCATCTTAAAGAGATCTCCAAATGGAGACAAAGCCCTGGGCAAAGATTCATTATGCTTTTATTGGTTATGGTAAGAACAGAAGCAAATTAAATAGCTAGTAATAATCAGTTAAATAAATCGAGGCACACCAATACAATGAAATATTATGCAGCTGAAAAACATTCTATAAAAGGTTTATACAACTTGGAGAAATGCTCATGGTATAATAATTAAGTGGGAAAAGCAGGATGCAAAGTTGTATGTGCAGGATAAATACTCTGCAAATTATATAGAGGAGAAGAGAGGAGAGGGGGATTCAACATCCTCAAGGGGAAATCAGGATCATCTTCAGGTAGTGGCGAGATTATGGGTGTATTTTTTCTTTCTTCTTTGGYCAGCTCCCCACCCCTTTTTTTTTTAGCATTCTCATCTCATTTTGTTTGTTTGTTTGGTACCAGGGATTGAATTTAGGGGCACTCACACTGAGCCACATCCCAGCGCTATTTTGCATTTTATTCAGAGACAGGGTCTCACTGAGTTGCTTAGCACCTCATTATTGCTGAGGCTGGCTTTGAACTGATGAGTCTCCTGTCTCAGGCTCTGGAGCTGCAGGGATTACAGGCGTCTCATTTTTACATCTCATTTTTTAAAAAGAAGAATGTTTTGCTAYGGCAGCTGCCTCCCACTTCTTCAGGGTGCTGGACTCAGGGTCATCCTCAAGCTCCTATCCCGCTCCCTTCCTCCTCCCTTTTATCTAAAAGATGCTCACTTGCATTCTGGTTTTCTGCTCCTCTCCTGGCTACCACCCATGGAATATTAACCCTTTCTAGAAAAGAAAGGAGTCAAGTTTTTCTCCAGCATCTTCCAAAGGCAGGAGTACAGGGCTAGGTAGGGAGAATAGAAAGGTGGCCCCTCTCTGACAGTTCTGGGTTGAATGTTTCCAATATGCCCTTGACCCAGGAAGGGAACTTGGRACTTCAGAAAGTCGCAAGAACCCTGCCCCCCCTTGGGTCATGGTGTCAGTAGCCCCTGTAGGGAACATGTGGGAGACCCTAGGCACTAAATACAGACTCTCAAGGGTCTGAGGATATCAGGCCCACTGGGCCTTCGCACTCAAGTGTAAGAATTGTCAGGGCACTTGTTAGCCCAGTTCCAGGGATGGWTTCCAGTGGGTCTCCAAGGGACCCAGGAATCACATTTAAATTAGCTTACTGAAGGGCTGAGCCACAGGGGATTCACAGCATGCTTTGAGAAACTGAAATCAGGGCTCAACCCTAGAATGTTCCCTCCTCTCAGCAGCTGATGGAGGAGAATTTGAGGGAGGAGAAGGCAGTGTGGGGGATGGGGGTGGTGGTTGGGATTTCCTGGAGTGGATACAAACTCAGCCCAGATCTGCTGAGCCCTGCCTGACCCAGATGAGGGTCCACAGCTGTGTGTCCTGCCCAGCGATGTGAACATGCTGGGGAGGTCCCAGCCTTGTCCACAGCTGACAGACACTTCTGTCATGCTGGGACATGTAGGAAGGGAGCCTGGGGAGGGTGGGCTGAGTCCTGGAGTGTGGGCAGATGGACTCCGAGGTTATGGCAGAAAGCTCATGAGAGTTAGTGCAAATCCAGCCATTCAGTTTCACCATCGGCCTGGCCAGGAGAGCCTTCTACAGTTACACTGAGATGAACTTGGAGAAACCCAGCTCCTCCTCAGACATCAGGGGCAGAGGATCTGGGATTGTGCTTTCCATGGGGTCCAGGGAAGGGGCTTCCAGTTCCTCTGTAGTCTGGAAAGACAAGAGTGGAAGGTTGAAAAGCAGAGCTTGGGAGTCAGGTGAGGGGTCTCCAGGCAGCTGCTGTGTTCAGTCCAGCCTTTTCTACATGATCGGGGTCTCTGTCCATCTGCAGGAGCAGGAGGACTCACAGATTCTCTCCAGAGACTCCAGGCTTTGATTCCTGCCTCCTCTGCACCCCCAGCCATCCTCCTCCAGAGAGCATCCTCATGGCCTCAGGTCCAGGCCACAGGAGTGAGAATCTTGCCAGCCTAGAGCTCTTAAGGATGATTCCCAACAAGTTATGAAAGAATTTTCTGGACAGGGGAAATGAGGACATGAGGGCAAGTGCCCTGACTTCCCAGAAGAAATGGCCTTAGGTAGGGTGGGTGGGCGAATGGCAGAGTGTRGTCTTCGAGGAGAGGAGGCTGAGGGAAAAGCTCTCCCTGTCCCTCCCCTGACAGAGTGGTGTCAGACAATGTGGCTCTAGACTCSGAGCCCTTCAGTACACACCTGGTTTAGGCACAGGGTCTCCTTGTAGGGGCTGGCAGAGGATTTGAGGCTGGTGAGAGGCTCGGTGGGTCCTGACAGGTTGATCACAGCTTCTTCAGGGACCCAGCTGTTCCCCAGGGGCTGTGAGAGAGACTTGGTCAGAACAGCCTATTCTTGGCAGAGAGGTGGTCTAGGAGCCAGGAGGAGGGGAACTAGCACAGGATGGGGTGGAGGTGGCAGGGAGGGGTAGGGAAGAACACTTAGCTCCGCAGAGGCTCTGCCAATTCCTACACCTCAGGGTGCCCTGGGACAAGCTAGCTAACTCYCCAAAGCTCAGTTTCCTCRACTGTAAAACAGTAGTAAGAATTTTTTTCCTTTATTGGGCACACTGATTCACACATGCAATCCCAGCTACTCAGGAGGCTGAGAGAGGAGGATCGAAAGTTGGAGCCCAGCTTGGGCAAATTAATGAGACCCTGTCTCAAAATTAAAAATAATGGCCAGGCACCATGGTGCACCTCTGTAATCTCAGTATCTCTTGAGGTCCAGGAAGGAGGATTTGCAAGTTCAAAGCCAGCCTTAGCAATTTAGCAAGGCTCTAAGCAACCTAGTGAGACCCTGTCTCAAAATTAAAAAATAAAAAGTGCTGGGGATGTGGATCAGTGGTTAAGTGCCCCTGGGTTCAATCCCCAGTACCATTAAATAAATAAATAAATAGATAAACAGATATAGGGATGGTAAAGCRTCCCTGGGTTCAAACCCCAGTGTGGGATAAAACAAATAACAACAAAAACTTTTTTCCCTGCAGAGATAAAATAACTATTCACATAGTATYTTATCACCCAACAAATGAGAATTTTTGGAATTCTTGGTGTATTTTATTATGTTATTTCTATCATTTAAAGCAGAAAGAATAAGCCGGCTACATGTTCTTTGTAATGCCTAGAGAGAGCAAAGCTAGATACCTCTAAGTTTCATTGGGTAACAAATGGCACCGGAAATATTTTGTCTGTAGCCATCCCACACTGAGGGACCAAGGGTGGGTCTTTCTCAGCAGTCTGGAAGACCAGTCTTGGGCCATGGACTTGGCTCCTTTCTTCCAACCCCTTGTACTTCAACATGGAGGGTGCAAGAAGTGCAGAGCGTTGCAGCCAGCCCAGAGTCCCCAGGTAGTTTTCCTGTTCTGTCTCTTTCAGGCTGGACAGCTGYAGGCAAGTCGTTACCCTCTCTGAACCTCCTTTTCTTTGCTGATAAAGTGGGGGAAATAATGACACCCACCTTATGTAGGAAGGATGAGGATTCAAGGATGTAAAGCCGGTGACACAGTTCAATAAAAGATTAAATGAATGAAAGGAGGGATGACAATCTCTAGCAACATCTCCTTGGGGAGGGAAAACGCTAGTGTGGCCCTAACACTTCCCTCTGATTTTTCGCACCCCYTTGGGCTCTCTTGCAGGAAAAGTAAAATGTCTCCTTCCCTCTTTGACCTGAATTTGGACAAGGAAAACCCCCTCAACGTTTTCAAAATCCCAGAGAATCCAAAAGATAGAGAAAGCCCTCCCCTGGCCTCTGCCCACCCTGTGTCCATCCTCCTCCCAACAAGGAGCCACCTACTTAGATATAGAAAATGACAAACCCCCCAAATACTGAGACCTGGGGCAAGGGGAGGAAGAGGGAAAGCCATACACTGAGAGCACTGATCCTTTCCCAGCACATTCTTTCCTGGTGATAAAACCAACCCTGGGGAGAGATGTCCATCAGACCTAGAAAGGAAGTCCCTGGGAACAGGCCAAAGCATAGTCCCTGCCTAAACAATTCCTTTCCAGATACCAACCACTGACCCCCGGCCCTCCATCCGGCCCAGTAAGATAAATCCCAGAGACTGACCTCTGACCACAGACTCCCTCCCATTTTGCCCAGTAAAACAGACCCCAAATTCCTGAGTGCCACAGCTGACACGCTCATTAATAAAGTCACCTCTCTTATAACCTASGGAAACCCAATCCCCTCCTTTGTTCAGTGGCTCATTTTCCACCCAGACAGCGGGTCCAGAGGTGTCACCCCATTACTGCTCCCCTCCCCACCCCCATCCTGCATGAAACTTAGTTCCTGAATAAAGAGCTGATCTGTGAAGTGTGTGTCTGGCCAGTCTTTTGGGGCTAATGCCATCCCTCAGAGCTCCTCTGCCTACGGGTCCTGGGCTCTGCCCTGGGGCCACATCATCTGGGCCAGACAGATGCCTCAGACAAGAAGACAGACGTGCAAGTTGGCTCAAAGGCAGGGAAGGTGTGGGGCTGGGTACACACTTGGGTCCCCACACCCTGGTGCCTGATGGAGAGCTGAGGCTGGGGGCTGAGGGCAGGCCAGAGGTGGGTCTGTGAAGGGAGGCTGTTCTTAGGCCTTCAAGACTCTCCCCTCACTCCCCTCTTCACCTTTGGCCTTGTCCAACTTCCTGAGACAACAGCAGCTGCTTCCTAAGCCATTCCCGCCCAGCCCTTTCCTGGGGGGTCGGGCCTGAGTCTTTTGTCCTCATTGGCGCCAGGAAAGAAGGGATTAGGAGCCCCCTTTCCTGCCCTGAGTCTGAGGGAATCCAACTGGAGGGGGGTTGGTGACCCAGGGTGAGGCAGATGGGGTTCCGGTTTCCTGGACCAATTCTGTACCCCTCCCCCCCTCAATAATAGCATTGTCCTGTTAGGGCACTGTCCCACCCCACAGAAGTTGGTGAAGGGTCCTGGAGCAGTACCCTCAGGGCAAGTTCCCCTCTCCAGGAAGATGGGAATGGGATCCCCGTTCCATCTGCCTCCTGGTCCCCAGAGCATCGCCCTCAGCCTGGGTCCCAGGGCAGTTATGCTACCTTGGTCTCAGAGCCAAGAAAGGTTMGGAGAAGACATCAGGGTCCTCTGGAAGGAGGAGGGATGGGAATTGAGAGATCTGGGTCCTGTTCTCCACTATGTCATGGTCTTCTGTGTGACCTCGGGCAACACCTTCACCCTCTCAGGGACTCAGTTTCTTTTTTTTTGCAAAAGCACACTAGAGTCTGTAATTGCCACACTCTGGTGTGCTGGACCCAGCCTTAGAGGGATTAGCACAGGCCTGAACAGTGCATTTCTAAGAGTTCTCTCACCCCTAGGTGCTAACGGGTAAAATGGGATTTGCATTGGATTTAGAGAAAAAACTGGATTAGCCAGGCGGCTCAGTGGTGCACGCCTGTAATCCCAGCGCCTCAGGAGGCTGAGGCAGGAGGATTACAAGTTTGAGGCCAGCCTCAGCAATCTAGGGAGGCCCTCAGCAATGTGGTGAGACCCTGTCTCAAAAAAAAAAGAAAAGAAAAGGACTGGGGATGTAGCTCAGTGGGAAAATACCCTTGGGTACTCCATGTATGTACCATATGTCAAAATATAGTCTAGTTTCATATATACCTAAAAACAAAAACAAAGAAAAAGAAAAAGAAAGAAAGAAAACACCCCTGGGTTCAATCCCCAGTGCAAAAAGGGAAGGATGGAGAGGAAGCCTGGGACCCAGTCCTGATGTCCTCTGATTCTGAAAAGGAGATGAGAACAGGGTATAGGGCCTGGGGGAGACACGTTCATGTGGATCCTTATACCCCTTTGCCCGGCACCTGGCAGGAAATCAGGGGTGATAATGGGCACTCTGTCCAGATCATATCCTGAAGGGTTGATCTCGGGGCTCACAGGGATTCCTCTGCCCAGATAGAGGGCAAGCCCTGCCTCTGGGGTCAGGAGGAAGACAGAGGTGGGCAGAGCCCAGCAGATCTCCAGCCCCAAAGGAATCCCAGCTGGTACTTTTGCCTGTCTCTGTCCTTACCAGGGTTGGGAGATGGACCTTCTCATTCTTTTGGGTCTCCAGGGCCAGCTGAGCTGAAAGAGATGTGAAAGGCATTATCTTGAAGCCAGGACTAGTCAGGAAGAGCCTGCAGCTGCCATCAGAAAAAGCACTGGCCCCTCACACTTGGGAGCAGGGACTTTCTGTAAGAATCTGTCAGGTGGGTGGGGAACAGGAAGTCCCGTGCAGCTCAGTCCCTTGGGAATGAGTCTCCTTTTGGAGTTAGTAAATGGAGATCTCTTTTGTGTGGGCCAGGAAGTAACTGGGGAAATTAATCTATGAGCCAAGGTCATTGCTTCTCAAAACTTCCATGTGCACAAGGCTGCTATAGCTTGGGTCTTTAGKGTCCCTTAAAAGATCATGTATTGAAGGACTGGTCCCCAGCTTGGTGCTATGGGGAAACCTTTAAGAGATAGAGTCTAAATCAGGTGCAGTGGCACATCCTGTAGTCCTGGCTAATGGGAGGCTGAGGCGGGAGGATCCCAAGTTCAAGGACAGTATAGGTCACTTAGTGAGACTGCCTGCCTCAAAAGAAAAGAAAAAAGTAAAATAAAAAGGGCTTGGGATGCAGCTCAGTGGTAGAGTGCGTGTCTAGCATGCGTGAGCTCCTGGGTTTAATCCCCTTTACTGAAAGAAAAAAAATGGGTTGGGGCCTAGTAGGAATATTTGGAGGTGTGCCCTCACTATCCTTCACTTCTTGTCTACAAGGTAACAGGCGACCCATGTTCCTGCCATGATGTGCTGCCTTATCACTGGACCAAAGGAAGAGGGTCAACTGATCATGGACTAAAGCCTCTAAAACTGTGAGCCAAAATAAACCTTTTCTCTTTAAAAGTTGATTATCTCAGGTTTCTGTTATAGTGACAGAAGGCTGACTAATCAAGAACCCCCCCCCCGGAAATTTTCTTAAAATGCAGATTCTAATTCAGTAGGGTGGGGCTGGGCCCGAGACTCTGTTCTAGCAGGTACCAGAGGATGCCAGGGCTGCTAGCTGGGGACTTGGAGACGTAAGGTGCTAAGTGGCTCTGAGGTTGTGACCAGGAATGGTCCAGTCCTGTAGATTCCCTCCCAGACATCTCTGAAGGGATCTGGGAATATTGACAAAATTGCCATTTCATCCTGAAGATCATGCAGGAGATCGCAAGCAGGCCCAGGACACTCCCAGGGCCTCTTTCTTTGGGATGCCATTGCAGATATCTTCCTGGCTCCATCTCCTCCTAGCTCTCAAACAATAGGGCAAGCTGCTTAACCACCCTGTGCCTCAGTTTTCCTCCTGTAAAATGGGGTACTCCACAGTACTGAGATGATTACAGGAGATAAGCATTATAAGCTGCAGGACAGCATCTGTAGCTCTTATTAGTTTTATTTTACTCAATCCTCTTGATCTGTGCCATCCAGCATGGGAAGCAGGAGCCATAAGCCACACATGGCCATTGAGCACCAGACCATGACTACTTCAAATCATACCAGGTTTCAAGAAAAAAATATGACAAAATGAATGTCTTGCTATGTTGTCCAGGTTGGTCTCAAACTTGAGATCCTCCTGCCTCAGCCTCCCAARTACCTGGGACTATAGGTGTAAGCCATCAAAYCTGACTTTCATTAGTATTTTTATATTGATTTCTTGTTGAACTGACTGTTACATAAACTATATTATTAAAATTAACTTCTCTAGTTTCTTTACTTTTTTTCCATGTAATTTTAAATTATATAGGTGGCTTATATTCTGTTTCTATTTGACATATATCTGTCATTTGAGGAAACTGAGGCTCAGGGCATTTAGTTTCTTGCCTAAGGTCATGGAGCTAATAAGTTGCTGAACTAGGATTTAAACTTAAGCCTATGAAAGGAACTGAGCACCTCTAGAGGTGCAGTGGCAATCCATCTCAGGACGCAATGTCTGTCCTGTTCAGGTTCAAGTGCTCAGTCTTGCACCCCACCCCGGTCAGTTCCCATATGGGGAGCTGGACATGGATTTGCTGGATCAACAGGGAGAGAAGTGATTGATGAGTTTGGCCAGAACCCCCTTCTCCTCCCACTCCCCATTTAAATTGCTTCTTTCTGTTGCTGATTGCCTTACAGTTTCCAGAAAGTAGCATCTGGGCTCTGGATCCCATATCCCAGACAGACACACTAATCCACAAGTCTTCCCAGGGTGGGTGAGGGACTGCAGGTCTCAGTGAGGTCCCTGGCTGTGAGCCTCCCACCCACCTGCCCTTGCTCACCTGTCTTTCTCCACCGGAGTAAGAGGCTCCCAGAGGCAATCAGGCCTGCAGCCAGCAGAAGGGACAAGAGCACCAGAACCGGGGCCAATATTCGGACCATTGGGATGGACACCCTGGGGGCGAGATGCATGGAGCCTGGTGGCTGTCACCAGAGAAGGCATCTGTATCCTTGGGGCCCATGTGGGGGCTGGGAAAATCAACCCCTAGTGTGAAATCTAATTCAATGTGACAAAGACTGGCAGAGCATTTGATGCCATTGGTTCTCTACGGACATTATTTAATTAGCTCAGATCCTGAAGCTGGGCTGCCTGGGTTCAAACCCTGGCTCTGCCAATTTCTAGAAGGGTGACCTTGAGCAAGTGACTTAACCTCCCAGAGTATCAATTTCCTCCTTTGTCAAATGGCTCTCATGAAGATCAGTTGGGATGTGTATACACACACATACACACACACACACACACACACACACACCCCATGCACCATGTCAGTTGTTAAATTCACCCCATGTCATTTGGTAGGAACAGCCTAATTTCACATTGAAGAAAATGACTTGTTAGTTAAGTGACTCGCTAAATCACACAGGGCATGTGGGAAAGTTCTCATGGCCCACATCCGGCACCAACGTACTAGGCAACAGGGAATTCTGATTCTGACTCTAGGTCCCTTATCTCCAAGAGGTTAGAGTGTGCCAGGGACTACAGCATCTAGTTACCCCATCATCTATGCCYTGTCTGGGCTGGAATGGACTCTCAGTCCCTGCTGTCAACCCCATGAGACACTTGCATGTGAGTCTGAACCTGCTAGCAGTGACCTACAAGTCAGGAACCGAATGCATAAGTACTTGGTTATAAGCCCAGAACCCTTTCTTCAGGCTGGGACCCCATCTGGGTAAAGAAAAAAATTAGGGTGGAGGGTTCCATATTGTTATGCACTGCATAGGGCTCAGGCAAAAACTACTCATCTGGGGTGATCCACTCTGAGGCCGGGATAGGTAGAGAGGTGGGGACTGGSGCTAGGGCAAACTCGTCACCTCGGGTGGGCCTGTGTGTTCAGGGCAGCAGGGCTGTGGGATCYTGCACTGCAAGACATGCACTGCTCAGGCTAAAAGCCCCCATGAGGGGCAGATGGGGCTGAAGTCTGTCTTGTGCCACGGGGTATGGCCATGACAACCGGAGACATTGGTTTGGAAGAAAGAGTGTTAGGGGATTATTGGCTCAAAGATGTCTTATGATTTACTGATGGCCTGAAGGGTGACCTTGGTCACCTGGACTCACCTGGACCTGGAGCTGTGGCTGATGGGGACAGGACTAGTGTCCTCTGCCAGGGTGGAGTCCAGCGGCATGGGTGGGCGGGAGCTCCCTGCATGAGGAGAGGTCGCTGTGTGAGCAGAGGTTCCTGCATACGGAGAGGTTCCTGTGTGTGTGGTCGTTCCTGCATGCTGCAACGGGACTGTCCCTATGACGGGAGAGGCCTCAGTCCCTGTCTTCCCCTGCTTGGCTGTGGTGACTGCCAGGTGGAGATCAGGAGGAGCTACAAGTTCAAAAGCAATGCCTCAGCACCTTCCCTGACCCTTGAATCCCAATCTCCCTGACTGACCCTTGACCCCTGAACTCTAACCTCCCTGAGACCAATTTCTCAGAGCATTTCCTCAGCAAGAAGAGGTCTAGATGAGGCGATTTTGAGTAAGCAGACCATATATCAGGCACTCCTGTCCCCACTGCCATGACCCAGTCCAGCATCACTCCATTGGCACCTTCCTGCTCCTGCCCCCCTAGCAGTCATGGCCGACTGTCACCTCCTCCTTCACTGGACGGGCAAGTGCTCCTATCACCATCACCTGCTCCTGCCACCTTCAACAGCCGGAGGCCAGCAGGGCAGTGTGGCAGGGATGAGTTCAGTGGTCAGGGCCAAAGGCCTGGCCTTTCTGGCTCACCCTCCACTCCACAGATGAAGCAGACAGAGAATGACCTTTGGGGTCAGGATGTGGCCACTCCCTGGCTCTGTTACCTCCCATGTGACCTTGAGCAAGTGATCCAACCCCCTGAGCCTCTAGTTCCTCAGCTGGACAATCTGGCTCCCAGGCTTGTTGGGGGCACCTGGATGGTGATAAAACACAGCTTCTGGCACCAGGTGGACACTCACTGGAGAGTTCCTGAGATAGAGGTGGAGGAGGGAAGCCGCTCACTCACTCAGTGCTGGGGGCTGGGTTTGCCGGGCTTTTGCCTGGGGCTGCAGGCTTGCTGGAGACAGAGGCTGCAAGAAGAGAGTTGGGGAAGTGGGGCAGCAGGGTCCTGGAGGAGAGGGAGAGGCTGTTCTCAGAGCAGGGTCCAGCCAACCCTTTCACCTTTCCTGGGAGCATCGGGCAGCTTTCCCACCCCCCATCTCGGCAGGCGCAGAGCCACACCCTCTTCTCATCTCAGCCAATTGGAGCCGCGTCCTGGTGTCTTTCCCTCCTGCAGTCCCTGCTGCCCCAGTTTGGCTTAGACTTCAACTCTCTGGCCTCTCAGCTGCCCATTAGCCTGCTGCTTCTGCTCCTTTCCTTGTCACCCAAGTGAAGTTTGTAGCATGACTCTTTCTTTCTTTCTTTTCTTTTTCTTTTTTTTTTTTTTTTGTTACTGGGGATTGCTTAACCACTGAGCCACATCCCTGTCCCCTTGTTTTATGCTTTATATAGAGACAGGGTCTCACTAAGTTGCTTAGGACCTTGCTAAGTTGCTGAGGCTGGCTTTAAACTCGAGATCCTCCTGACTCAGCTTCCTGAGTCACTGAGATTACAGGTGTGTACCCCTGGGCCCAGCATTGTAGCATGTCTTTTAAGGCCTTTTAAACTCAAGTCTTCAAATCACCAGTGCCCCAGCCACACAGAGCTGCCCTCTATTCCTGATTGCATAAGCCTCCTGCTTGCTGCTGTGCCTTCCACACGCCATTCCTCTGCGTGTGTGATGCCTTTCCTTTCCATCCCTGCCTAACACACTTCTTTATGTCCTCCAGCACCAGCTCAAAGGTCAGCTCCTGCTCAATATGGAGGGGCAAATCCCCTTTTCCTTTGGGTACTGGCAGTACCCTCCAGGGGAGGCATCTTCAGGGAAGCTAATAATCACCCTGCAATTATTCTAAATGGGTCTCCCTACTAGGCTGGGATCCATGAGGGCAAAATCCTATCCTCAGTGCCCAGCACCCCAGGAGCTGCTAAGCTTCCCTATGTCCATCAGTGGCTTCACCGGTCTTTTCTGACTATGACCAGCTGGGAATCTCCCTCTTTCTCTGCCTGTCTTTATTCTAATACTAGGTTACTTTATTCTCAGATTTTTCTAAGTAGATAACAAAATCTTCTGTAAATAAAGAGTATTTATCTTTTGCTTTTCATATTTAAAATTCTCTCTCTTGTCATATTCCATTGCCTAGAGCCTCCAGGCAATGATGAATGAAAGAAATGACAGTGAGTGCACTTGTCTTATTTGGATCTTTCTAGAAATTCTGCTAAATATTCCATCATATTCAATAAGAAGATGTCTCTTATTGGCTTTGGAAACTGATTGTTAACTTTTGGGGAATTTTCTAAGCTGGCTGATAAACATGGTGGACAGAAACTGGCCAGAGCAGGACCATTTATACCACAGAAATTGGCAAACACTATAAGTCAGAGTGTCCCCAGCCTGCTGTTAAACATCTACCAGCACACACTGTTATAGGCCTTCTTTGTTTTCAGGATCCCAACTGTCACCAGAGGGAGGCCAACAAGGTCTGACACAGGAAGATAATACAATAATGCATACATTATACACAGAGAAGTAACTATGAATGAGGAAAAGTAGCAAACACACGAGAGCCTCAAAAATAGGTGAACTTAATCACAACTAGGTAAAAATGAGGTCTGAGGGGGTTGTGGCTCAGTGGTAGAGTGCCTGCCTAGCACAGGTGAGACACTGGGTTTGATCCTCAGTACCACATAAAAACAATAAATAAATAAAGTTATAAAAAATGAGGTCTGAATACTGACAAGAATTCAAAGAGATCAGAGATTCTTGTAAATAACAGAAAACAGATTGTGTGTGTGTGTGTGTGTGTGTGTGTGTGTGTGTGTGTGTTCTGCAGTGCTGGGGATTGACCCAGGGCCTTACGCATGCTAGGTGAGTACACCCCCAACCCTTATTAATGTAGTTTCAAAGCTGGTGCTATAATTCAGTGAACTGATTTTCCTAAATTAAAACAGAGACCTGTGGGCAACAGAGATCTKGGCCCAGATATGGGCCCATGAAAGGAAATGAACAGAACAAAAGCCCTCCATGAACTGCATTTGAACCATAGCTATACCACTTCCTGCCATGAGGCTTTGGTCTCTTGGAGAGATCAAATCATTGAGTCTCTTGGAGCCTTGGTCTCCCATCCATGAAGTGGGGATTCAAAGTCCTACCTTGCCCCCTCTGACCAGCAGCACACCGGGGCTGCCCGTGGCCCTGAGCCCTCTCTGGCTTCTTTTCTCTCTGACCAGCMGCTCCAGGTGAGATTCTTGGCCCTGAGAGAGGTGCTCCATATCTATGGCTCCAACCACGGCTCCCTAATGGCCTCAAGCTCAAAGAGTTCCTCTTTCAGGCATCTGACCCAGGACTGGTTCCCAGGCACATCTAGCATCTGTCTCTGAAAATCTGGGAAAGAGGAGGCCAAGCTGGGAGCTGAGCCCTCAAGCTGGRAGGAGCCAGCATGGCCCCAGCTTAGGTGATGCCATGGGTTGGGTCTGGGAYGCAGCGATGGCTGGCTCAGCCTCAGGAGGCTGCAGGAATATCTCTGACACCAGGGGAAGGTTGGGGAGGGGAAGGTCTTGCTATTCTTTGGGATGACCATTTTGTCCCCAGACCATAGCCATCTCCTTTCAGGATATCTAGGCAGAGAAGAAAGACATTGAGACCCCACTGCAACTCAGAACTCRATCAGAATGATGTCCCTGAGTCCTTCAGGTGACTGATGAGGCTGATTCCAGGATGGACCGCACCCCACTTTTGTAATGGGGAAAGTGGATCCATTGCTAATGACCTTTATTTTGTTTATTTATTTTTATGTGGTGCTGAGGATCAAACCCAGTGCCTCACCCGTGCAAGGCAAGCCCTGTAYCCCTGAGCCACAGCCCAGCCCCTGGGCTTCTGTTCCCCCTCTGCAGCTCTGGTTCCCCAGGCTGGGCAAAGAGAGGAGTTTGTTACCTGGAAAGACGGTCAGAGAGACCAGGAAAGTCTCATCAAAGCCCAGTTTATCKGCCCCACACCAGTACTTCCCGGCATCCTGCAGGGTGAGATCCCTCAGGGTCACAGTGAATGCCAGCTCTTGGGGGTTGTCGCAGATGGACACTCTGCCCTGCGTTATCTCTTGGCCGTCTTCTCCTGAGTAGATGGTGCTGGAGCAACGGGGGACCAGGTACCCAATCTGCTTGCACCAGTACTTCTTGCGCTCCCTCTCTTCTTTCCCGTACGTGCACTTCAGGGACACAGTGTCACCTTCAAATCCGCTGATGTACTTTGGACCTTTCAGGGCTTCATAACCTGAAACCATAACAGTGGTTCACTTCATGCTTGCTGCTCCGTTTATTTTAAAACTGACATGTTTTCCCTTCCTCTCCTTCCTCTCCCCCTCCCTAACCACAGCGGGAGGCGGGGAAGCAAGATTCACCTTCCTGTCCCATGGAGAGGGATCTGGTCTGTGGCTCACTGGCCACAGGAATGAGGGAATCCAGACTTGGAGCTGGCACTGCGGATCTAAGAAAGGCTACAGATGAATAATGACTCCTGAAAGGGCTCACCTGGAGCCCTTATAGTCCCCTATGTGTGCTCCTTTGTTAGCAAAGCAATAAAAATTTTTTCCTTTTTCTCAAAACCTTGTCCTCATTATTGGATTGCCACAAGGACAAGGACCAAGTTTTTAGTTTCAAAATCACAACAGAGGTAGAGGTGGGACTACCCTGGGCTCGGGGACCAGGGTCAATACCAGAGGTTTCTGTTTTGCTTCGAGACAGGGAGACTTTTCTCAGCCAGTCCTTCTGGAATAGTCCTTTAAGACCCAGCTCACTCCTGGCCTTAGGAGACCTTGGTGCAAGGCTGTTGTTCTTTCCCTAAACCTAGAATACTGGGGGAGGGGGTCACCAACTCTAGATTCACCCAGCCAGGTGTTTGAATCCTAGCACTGCCAGCTAGCAGATATGTGACACTGGGGAACTTGCTTGACCTCTCTGAATTTTCTCATTAATAGATGATGATAATGCCCTGCTTCATTGCATGTAAGAGGCAATGTAAGACACACCACAATTTTATGCACCGCTAAGAAAAAAACAGTGCTAATTAATTCTCACTGCAGTGGCATATGCCTGTAATCCCAGAGACCTGGAGAGGCTGAGGCAGGAGGATTGCAAGTTTCAGGCCAACCCCAGCAACTTAGTGAGACCCTCACCGATTTAGTGAGACCCCGTCTCAAAATAAAAATAAAAAAGGCTGGTATGTAACTCCCCATAGTGCGCTTCAGTTCAATCCCCAGTACTGGAGTGGAGCGGGAAGACTTTGCCAATTGAACACTGATACCCGTTATAAGATGCTTCCTGGTTTTTGTGTTTAAAGACAAAGAACAAAAGCAGACCAGTGAATCGATGCAGCATGATAATCCTTCAACTTCCAGGGCTTTGACTAATATTTTCTGATTTTAACAGGGCTACCAGACACGGGTGTCTTGTCTGCTTCCAGGCTTTGCACAGAATAGGAAAATAAAATGAGAGCGGTAAAGGTCCTCTTTCAGGTGCACAGCTGTACAGGRGCTGGAACCCATAGTCAGGGAGCACCCCATCTTGAATTTCAGAAACAGCAAGTGCGGGCCTCTTCTGAGGGCCAATGGGGCAGAGGATGCATGGGCTGGGGTGAAGTCTGGAAGCATGAGGTGCACATGCGCATGTGGGGCTGAAGCAGGGTGTTGATTCAGAGGTGAGCTAAGGCATGGGCCCCACATCCCTCCCACTTCCCCCACCCCCATCTCACCTGGGAGCATGAGGCAGCTCCACAGCAGGACCACAGGTCGCATGGTAAGTGCTGGACACCTCCTGTGCAGACAACAGCAGCTGTGAGCTCCTTTCCAGACCACACGGGGGCTTTAGCTTCCTGCAGAAGCGCCACATCAGGATAAGGAAGGGAGGGGAGGGGCATGCGGGTCACTCCTGGGCACACCCAGTCAARGAGGCGACTCTGAACTTCTTGTTTTTATTTTTTATTTACTTTTTTTTTTTTAGTTGTAGTTGGACACAACACCCTTATTCTATTTGTTTATTTTTATGTGGTGCTGAGGATAGAACCCAGGGCCTTGCACGTGCTAGGCGAGCGCTCTACTGCTGAGCCACAACCCCAGTCCCCATGAACTTTTTACTTCGCACCCTGTCCCCAACCAACCCTGAGGTTCACGTCCCCAGCCATGCAAGCAAGCACTTCTCCAACTCGAGCCCCCTCCACCAGACCCTAACTTGTTATTCATGCACCTCAAAGGATCCGTAAGAAGAATTCAAGGAGTCCATGCGTGTGGATAGGAAAAAATTACATATTGACCTTCATGAACCTCTAACTGACGTTTAGCTTTTCCTCCTATTAGGAGTGTAGTGTTAGCAGTATCTATAAATGTAACTACTAAAAATGGCAGACCCAGACCATCAGGTTGTTGCAGGGTAAGATGGCCTTAGCCTAAGCAACTCCATTTTAAAACTCCATCTTAAAATAAACCTGCAATCTCACCAGGCAAGCCCACAGAGCCCTCCCATATGTCACTGGGCATATCCTGATCAAATAAGTCACTTTCTACAACCCTGATAAAAGTCAGGGTGAAGTCACATGTCATTTGCGAGAAGGGTAATATCAGGGCAGAAACAAGCAGACCACATGTCCTCTCTAAATGTAAGATGTCACTGAGAAACCTTGTATCGGCTGATAGGGACCAAAACTACATGCAGAAATCCCCCAAATTTAGTATAAACAATGGAACAAATGAACAGAATTTCAGCCAGCCGATACTGACGCACACATGCCGGAGAGCCTGATGAGGACTTGGACTGACATCCCAACTCTTCTCATCATCTGCCTGATCCTCTGCATCGTCCTCCCCGCTCTCAAACTCCACAGCAGCCTCCTGACCCTGGTGAGAAAGGCGACTTCTCCTTACCACCATCTCCTTAGCCAGCATCAACTCTACCTGAGGAGAAGCCTCCATCAGTTCCTGACCTGATTGCTGTGGTCTGAGTGAGTGTGCTGGACTTAATATCTAAGACTTACGACTTTAAATCTAGCACTTAAGCTTAGCATGCAGCGGGAATGTCTGCCATAGGTCGTCATGATTAAGAGCATTTGCGGTGCTTAGAATTAACTTAGCATTTGTTTGCTTTGAACTAGTTGTGTTTATTGCTTTCATAAGTCTGAATTATTGTGTTTGTAGTGCCCAGCATTAAGGATTGTCATTCCTTGATTAAAAACCTATAGAGTGAAATTGTATTGAATAATTTTGAGTGAATAAAGCATTGAAAAGGGCATTAGCTCGTGGACATTCTTTATTTCTCCCCTTGACTGCAGATGTTGCACCTTTGCCCTTCGTGACATGCAGATATCGATATCTCAAAATACTGTGTATACTTCTTACTGCTTGAGGAAAAAGTTAATAGACATGCTACTAGAGCTGGCTATTAAAGTGCCTAATAAAGAAGCATGTTTATTACAATTATATTTTCATAAACATTTCACTATTTTTAGTTTAATTTTGAGTATATATATATATATATATATATATAAATATATATATAAATATATATATATAAATATATATATATATATTTGAGTATATATATATATATATATATATATATATAGAGAGAGAGAGAGAGAGAGATACATATGCCATTATTCTAAGATTGGGGTTCTGTAAACTTCTCCACACTGCCAAATGATCAATGGTACATAACTCAGCCTGCAGCAGGACTCACTCACTGCCCCTCCTCTGCGTCTTCCCTGCCTGAGATGCAGTATCGCCCTTGACCACAGGGTGGCGTTGCAGGCGGAGCTGAGCCTAGCAGTCTGCCCCAATCACCCTGCTGGGTTGGTCCCCTCCAAGCGGGCTTGGGTTGTTTGGCACTTGAAAAAGCGAATTAGTGTTTTCCCCACCGCAGATTTGAATCCTCCTCCAAAGGATCAAACAAACACGCACACTAGAGGGAGCCCTGACGCATTGTTTTCCAAGAGAGCTCTGTTGGTTTTCTTCTGATTGCTCATACAGGTTACAAGTAAAATTTTTACACAATGCAGAGATGTGAGGAAAAAAAAAAAAAAAGAATGGAAATGTTTCTTGTAATTTCCATTCTTCCTTAGAAAACCATTGTTAATATTTTGGCATATTTCCTTCCGTCTACACAGTTGGAATTTTACCCACAGGGCAAGTTAATATTTGAAGCATTTACACTGGTTCTGGGAGTGTGCACGTGATTCTGGTAATGTGGGGGGAAGTGTTTTGATTTCACAATGATTGACAGCCCTGCTGCCATTTAATGAGCAGGGACATCATGTCGTGAAAACCCTGTTAGAAGATCTCAGCTCAGAACTTGATTCCCTTTTACGTGTACAGATTTCAAAGAGTAATCAGGTTTTGAAGTTTAAAAAAATAACATGAATTAAAATAACATTTATTCTAGCGTCTCATAGTATATTTCTGCTCTTTATTTTGTCCTTATATAGAATAATTTCTTTTTAAAATTTTTTTTTAATATTTATTTTTCAGTTTGCGGCAGACACAACATCTTTRTTKGTATGTGGTGCTGAGGATYGAACCCGGGCCACACGCATGCCAGGCGAGCRCACTACCGCTTGAGCCACATCCCAGCCCCAGCCACATCCCCAGCCCCATATATAGAATACTTTCTAATCTACTTTTATTAAAGCCTAATTTATTCCTCACAAGCAGGGGCAAGCATCTGACACTTCATTATGTTTCCTAGTGTCACGGGGCCTGAACATTGACATTTTGAAATATGTGTTATTTGGTAATAAATTGTTTTCCTTTTATTTTTTTCTCCCTAGTACAATTTGGGCATATATTATGACTTTAAAAAAATTGTGTGAGAGGTATTTATTTATGATTGTCATTTCAAGAGGGGACAGGAAGTGTTACTAAATACTTACTTAAATAAAGAGGGAGTTGGGTCTGACCTGAGTTATCCTTGAAMCTTCCCAGTATATTCAAACATCTTTCCCCTCCAATCTACCAGTCCCACACCTAGCCCAGGAGCTGGCTGGGGGRGTTCCATTTAAAAGAGCTCCTCCTGGCGGGGGGGGATGGATGGAGTGAGCATCGGGAGAAGGGTGTAAGTGGGGTGCTGTTGTAGGCACTGCACCTGGATCACACCCTGGGCTGATGGTAGCCAGAGGATGTACCCATGGTGGGTTTTGGGATCTGAGAGGAGAGGATGCTTATGTCCTGTGTCTCACCCTTGAGTGCTGGTAGGTGCTCTGCCATCACTGCTCATAGCAGCCTCTCTATGTCCTCACTGAGGGCTCTATGTACCCAAGAATGGCTCAGTGTGGCTGCAGGTGCAATGGCTGGGACGGGGAGACCAAACTCCTAGGTCTTCAATAGTCACCTCTAGGTTTGGACTTGCTAGGACTGAGTTGGTCTAAGATGGTATTTTGGTGCCCTTAGATTCATGTTTTCCGATCTCAGCACTAGTGACACTTTGGACAGATAATTCTTTGTGGTGGTGCAGTCCTATGCATTGTGGGATGTTGGAYAGCCTCTTTGGCCTCTATTTACTAGATGTTAAGAGACCTCTTTCCCAATTTATTAAAAATTTCTCCAGACACTGTTGAAAGTCCCCATGGGAGGCAACATTGCTCTGCATTGAGAATCACTGCCCTGGGTGAGGAACAAATCTACAAAACAAATAAGTATGCTGTGAGGGGCTGGGATGTGGCTCAGGGGTAGAGTACTTGCCTGGCCCTGGGTTCAGTTTCGTATACTGAAAATTATTCAAAACACCATCAAACAAGTGTGCTTTTGTGTAAGTGGTATGTATAGTCCCAAGGTCTTAGGACAGTGGGCTTCTAATTCTGAACCCCAGAGTTAGGTAGACGCCACCCAGTCAGGTGGTGATGAGAACCTCTGCCCTGGACCCCACTAACATTCAAGGGGAGCCTTGGCGGGGCCATGCAGACACGCTGCAGGAGGCTGGCTCCCAGGGGACAGAGAAGGGAAAGGGCTTGGGAACACCTGCCTTGTTTTTCCTTCCCAGTTCGTCAATCAAATCAGTGAAGGATCACTGGCGAGAGACCAAGAGCATGACACTAGTAGGGCTCTGTCCTCGTGGGGGGGGGGGGAACATCAGTGTGGTGGTCACTTCATGGATCCTCAGCCTCCAGCACTCGTTGGAACATTGTTCACCTTTTGCATTTTGTTGAGGTACCATGGAGTTAGCCCAAGATGGTCGCATCTATACTGGACATGTACAGAATTTTTCTTATCATTATTCCCTAAACAATGTAGCACAACAACTATTTCATAGCACCTACCTAGTGTCAGGTATTAGAAGTAATCTAGATATGATTTAAAATATGCAGAAAAAGGAGAAAAAAATAAAGTGTGCAGGAGGATGTAGGTTATACACAAATACTATGCCATTTTGTATAAGGAACTTGAACAGGCACAGATTTGGGTATTCAAGGGGGATCCTAGAAACAATTCCCTGTGGATATTGGGAAATGACTATGTATATTTAAAACTCTGAGAAACACTGGAGGCTAGGTGCTATGTGGCATTTTGGATTGGATCCCAGAACGAAGAAAGAATATTAGTGGAGAGAAAGAATATTAGTGGAAAGACTACAGAAATACCAACAATGTCTGGTTAATAGTAATGCATCAATGTAACTTCTTAGTTTCCATAAATGTACATGGTTATGTAAGATGCTCACATTAGGGGAAGCCAAGTGAAGGTTATCTGGAAACTCTCTGTACTATCTTTGCAAACTTTCTGTAGATCTAAGATTATTATAAAATACAAAGTTCAAATAAATAAATAAAGTTTATTTTTTAAGAAAATAAAGCTGAAGGGAGCATGAGGGATAAGTAGACTGAGCTCT